TAATCGATACTGCAGTTGCTATGGGGCGGACCAATCCCGGTTGGGGGTGTACCTTCCGCTGGCCAACCATAGCTCGTTTTGGCGGGAAACTGAAATATTTGAAAGACGAGAAACCGGGTCTTGTACGATTTCCTTACGTTTAACCCAAGGATCCGTATCAGCAAAGGTGTGACTGGTCATTCCTTATCTATCGCAGCCTGGCTCGGGCGGCGTTAATATTTTTCCGCCAATGATTAATCGCGACATAGGTGAAAACAGGCATGGATTTTCCGAAATGGGAGGGTGAACAAGCTACCATTGGTTCTAAGACTAAATGCGCCGTTACAATTTCTACCTCCCGATCATTCCCCACCACCGCCACCCGCGGGGTTACAAAACTGTTATAGAGCGGAAGTGCGAGCAAGGATGTCGTAAACGTCTCGGTGCATCGACGGCGACGGTTCATTCATTCGCTGGGGCTCCTTCCTGAAGGGAACTTCACCTCTCGCGGTCGAAGTAGAATCGAAGCTTCGACTACTATCTTGGCCTCAGAGCATAAATATATTGACAGTACATCGTTCTAATCGCTCGCCTGCAATTTTTAGTAAGTTAGAAAATTTATTGTGAATACTTTACGCGATTTTTAAACCGTTTTTACAGTTGAAAACCTAGTATCTGACATAAATATCTGTGCTCCATTCTTAATTAATCCACTTTTCTAAACGTATATTCTTTCACCTGTTGAGATTCATTAAATTACGTGGGATCATTCGGTCGACTCGATCAACGAGGAGAATCATTCCAGTAGAGAAGGCAATCAGTATATCTGATTGAAGTGATCTTTTGTCGATTCTTCACGAGTTAAAGTGATCAAAGGAGAGAAAGGTACGTGAATTGTTTGTCGTTAATTGATGTGAACCGAGCCAATCGCGTCGAGTCTTTGTATTTTTCTTGGATAGCTAGTATCCAGTCTCGTTGTTTCAAGCGATCGTGATAAAACGGGCGCGAATCTGTTCCTCACAATTGCATGCTAAGCAAAATAAGCTATCGAAGTGTGAAATTTACCCCGTCTTTGACCGTCTTTGAACCGGACCGCGAGATCGACCGTGAATTCCTGTGAACGTCGTAAAATTCTTCTTTATTCTTTGATTTGGGACGGGAACGATCCGTTCGAAAAGTTACTAAGCAAAATAAGCTATCGAAGTGCGAAATTTACCCCGTCTTTGACCGTCGTTAAACCGAACCGCGAGATTGACCGTGAATTCCTCTGAACGTTGTAAAATTCTTTTTTATTCTTTGATTCGGGAGGGGAACGATCCGCTCGAAAAGTGACAGGACCGATTGTGTCGAATTTCGCGGCCGAATCCGAATAGTGTCCGAAACTCGCGCGACGCGTAATCATATGTTGCACATTTATCTTCACAATCCGACAGTTTCTCGTAAATCATTTAACGCGTAATTTACTCTTCGTGGGACTACTTAAATGTTTTACATAGTTGCTTTGAACTCTTCAGCCCGTGACACGTTCATCGCTCCGTAAACGAGATAAACGATGCAAAAATAAAGACTTCCTCCTCTCAGATCTTACTAATTATTCCTCAAGTAAAAACAAATGCAACAGTGACTGAAAAGAATCGGTTTAAAAACTGTCGAGAAATCTGTTAAGTGAAAATTTGTTTCTATAAATCTGCAGATACAGGCTTTTCTCAATGATTCTAATTTAGCTGATCATGTAGTTCATTATAGTTTCGATCAACTTTTCTCGCGTGAAAAAGTGCAGTTTCAAACTCCGCGATTTTATAATACAGCCTTTTGGCGACTGATACCGCAACGATCGAAATTGCAATTATGAATTTACTAAGTCTGTAAAACTCATATATTCTTCATTATTGATCGCTCCGACGCGGGTCCATGCTCGGAAGCTGCTTAACAGAGAATAATGTCGGTCGTTGCGGGTCAACTGTAGTCTCCTCAGGATCCTATTATAAAATTATAAGGGATTTAGTCGAGCCAGAAAACCTGTTGCTGTCCGAGCTATGTTTACCTATATCCATGATATACGAGGACTGTGCTGTCGCACACGTAGCCGCGTAAGTACGTGTAAAGCGAAAATCGATTTCAGCCCTTTGATGGTCATAAAACTGAACTGCAATTATTATAACGAGAAAATTGTTACAAATCGCTTCCTTCTCGACACGTATATATGCACATATGTCTTTCACGGTCATAGAAATCAGAGAGAATTCACTTTCTCCGGTTGTACCATTGATTTCACGGAAGAACGTGGCACTTCTCTAAGGAGAACTGTGACTGAAAGTTCGCTGCAACTGTAAAATTGCATGTTTCCTGTTGAAGAAAGAGTTTAGCAAACTTTCAAAGTCAAATTCCGTAACATAGGAACTACGTAAATTAAAACGAAATGCGTAGAACGTTAAGGATTTATAGGATGAAAAATTAGAACTGGTTTCTCTGTGTAATTCCAGTCGAACAGAAGGATAAAAAAGTCGTAATTGAATAGGAGTATTTTACATCAATCGTATAGAAAAGTAAACTGGATCGAGATAATACAATGATTACCTGGCTATCTCTGGGAGCCTACTGGCTGAACAAGAAGGATAGTGAATTCGACGACGAATACTTTGGGTACGGGAATTATGTACATACTCTGTTGGACGGTACTCGCAGAGTTAGAACAAGAGTAGTAAGATTACCTCGACGGCCTAGAACAACTTATGCTCGAACGAGGAGCTCGTATCCACGTTCTCGAGAACGTGCTAGTCGTAAAGCCGCCGAAAAGGCGCTCAGCTGGACTGATTTGTTCTGTGGGTGCCTCCCATTTTTCTGCCGCGACGTAAGTTTCTTCCTTCCATGAATGTCCGAACTGTCGATCAATGTATTTTATCTGTTTGGGAATGGCTTGAAATCTGTTTCGAACTGATTGTGCTATCATTTCATTGTGTTCAACGGTTCAATATTCTTTGTAATTTGGCGTAGGGCTTCGACTCGTTCGTTTATTTAAGCCGAGCAACAATCGTTGTTTCCGTTTGCGAGTTTGAAGTTCATTCATTCGCAACGGTTGCATTAAAACGCCGTGCCGCCGTCGCGCGTCGGGGCAAAATTGACCGGTCGGAAAATTGACTCGAAAACGAGCATCGATCTGTTTTATTCGGCTGGTCTTTCGCGGCCGAAATTAATACGGGTGCTTTGTCACGGAGAAAAGTCACGGTCTGTGCAACTGGAAACTGCGCGACCGTCGTACGTAATAAATCAATAGGAATTACCACCCTACGACCCCCCAAC